CATTCAATGAATGTGGCCCTACCCACCATCCTCTCTTCTGGGTGGTTTTTCTGTCTCCCACCCCATGTGAGAACCACGAATCAGGAGCCTGTGCTCCAAGTGTTCCCCCCAGCTGCAAGGCATAAACCCAAGAGTTCCACCTCAGGTTTGTCTCAGGATTCTGGGGTAAGATCATCCTGGTGCCCTCAGCATTTTTCTTTCTCCATAGAAAAGCCCCTTCCAGGCCTGGTACTGGCACTTTTCCTGTCAGCTCCATGGTAGCTTCTGGGGTAGAACCCAGACCACTGTTTCTTTTATAATGAAGAATGAGCATTCTGGACTGTGGGCCCCATGTCTGTCACCCTACCCCACTCTACCTCTGCATTCAATCTCTTAACAAAAACTTAAGGAGAAATGGTCTGACTTGTCATCTGGGAAAATGCACAGGAATTTTGCTTCCCCTCCCCCTTCTAGAACAAGGGAATGGGGGAAACAGGCAGCCAAATGATGAAGGCGGGGTCATGGCCTCAGGAACTGGGCCAGAACATATGAAGGGCAGGATCCAAGTCAAAAAGCCTGGTGTTGTTACAGGCAGCTTGAGCCAGGAGGCTCCCTGGCTCAGATGGAGAAAACCGGAGCTGGCATTCTGTTTGGGAATGGGGTAATGAACAGTTATCTGGAGAGCCTTTCCAGCCACTAAGCCAGAAAGCCAACTGGAGTTAGCTGCCCCTCCGGTGTATACACAACACTCAGTGGCTAAGACTTGAGGCCAGATTTAGGTCCCAGGACCACAAGGGGATTGGCAGATATGCCTAAATTGGGGGGTGGAGTACATGTCATGACCCCCACACCTCAGAAAAGGGAGGCAGGAAAGGGAGTTTGCAGTGCCCTGGGTTACAGAGATCCAAACTCAAAGCAAAACCAACCAACCAACTCCGAGAGTTTGAGAATATTTGCTGTGGATGAGTCACAAGACTGAGGAAAACAAAACATGGGCACAGGTATCCCTGCCCCGTCACACTGCAGTGAGGTCTCCCCCAAAGCAGACTCATGGAGGCTGGCAGGGGGTTGGGGAGCTGAGCAAGTAGGTCATTAAGTGGAGCTTCAGAGAGTGGGCTTATTGTAATTGTTCTTATTTTTTGTGCCCTCATGCACCAAGGCAAGTGTGTGGAGGTCACAGGACAGTTTGGGGGAGCCAGTTTTTCTTTCCACCCAGTGGGTAGGAACTCAGGAAGTCAGCTTAGGTGAGCACCTTTATCCACTGAGCTGTCTCCTTAGTGAGGGTTTAAGTCAAAGAAACCAACACCAATTTTGCTTAAAAGAGCATACAAATGAGGAATCTTTAAGAGCCAACCCCAAGCTCATGTGGCAACCCACAGAAGCACAGTGAGTCTAAAAAGCCAGTGGAAAAGAACAGAGTGGCCGTCAGGGAAGCCCTGGTGGAAGAAGGCACTTGCATATAAATCTGGGAGACTGTGTTTTATTGTTATAAAGTCATTAAGCTACTGGGCAAGCTGTCTCCTGAAATTGAGAGGTGCACTTTGCTCTGAAGAAATGTCAGCCAAGGACAGGATTTACTGAGCTGTTGAAAGTGAAAGAGAAAGCACTATTGTGGAAGTGAGCAGTAGGAGGTAGGGAGTGGGACAATTTCACACCCCGGGCCTGTGCAGGTCTCCAGGGCAAACTGGCGCTGATGCCTCTCTAAATACTATTCTCTGACCCCTCCAAAGCAGCCCAGCCCAGCAGCTCCCACCCCCAGACCATTCCCTGTGCATTAGATATCCTTCCCTACACAACAATTAAAGTGAAATGTCAATCCTCCAGCAATGTGATACAACTTCTCTAAATTTTGCTTCTTTCTTATTTTACCTAAGAAGTTTTCCATTCCCATCAGTTTGGATGATTACCCCTTTCGAAAGGCAGCCCAGGAGAAGAATAGGAATTCTAAATCACACTTCTGTCAGTACTGTTGCTGCTTCAGTCAGCACAACGGCCCCAGTGTCAGAATCCTAGGTTTTGCCATACATAAAAATGTCAAGCCCTTGCTTCAGGACCAGACACTCTCCTCCACACAGCCTTCTGAAGTGCAAGCTACCTCATGAGAGAGGTTCAGGGTAAGATCCTTTCTCATTTTAAAATGCATGTTGGCCAAGGAACATTCAAATAAACTTCTTTAACATAATGATAGTAAGTTAAGATGATGCATAAGTCAATAGATACATGACTTAGAATAATTACTCCTTAAAAATGAACACACGTATCTATACACATGTATATGACAATAAATTAAATGGTATAGGCAAGCCCACACATATCTATACACATATATACAATAAATTAAATGGTATTGGTAAGCCCACACATATCTACACACATATGTATATGACAATAAATTAAAAGGCAAGGGCAAGCCCTGCCTTCCACTCTAAGACTGGTAACACAGAATTAGCTAAAGCTTGTTCAGTAGCATGGCACAAGATCTAATACTGTCAAAATCCTAGGACTTCTAACAAAACAGCCACTCTTGCTGTGGAGGGGTCACAATCCTAAAACCCCAAGAGGCAAACCATCTATTATTAGGAAGTCAACAAATGTACCTATACCATAAAAATAAGCAATGCCAAGAACTCAATATAGGAGGATCCTCGGGGATTCCCGGTCTCAAGGAGAGATCCTATCTCAAAATAAGGTTGGCAGCTCCAGGGGAATGATACCCAAGGTTGTCCGCTAGCTTACACTCACTCCCTTCGCCCCTCCTTCTCTCCTCCCCTTCCCTCCCCCTTTAGAAGAGAATCAAAGGCAAACTCAATGGCTTGGACAAATGCCAAGGTGGACAGGGCTAAGGGTAGAATTAGTGAGACAAGCACCAAGGACTCACTAAACACTGCACAGAGAAATCTAAAAGGCAAGCAAGGAGAGGTTCAATACTCCATCTTCAAATACTGGACTGGGGGACAGGGAACAACGGTGACATGCATTCCAACAAATAAGAACATAAGATGAGGGTCAGAAGAATGAAAATAAGCTAGACATGAAGGTCAAAACAGCAAGAAAGACAAACCCAGGGGGAAAAACGAGTTGCCACCTGTTATAAGAAGATAATTTCAACCGGCCGTTGGTGGCGCTGGCCTTTAATCCCAGCACTCGGGAGGGAGAGGCAGGCGGATCTCTGTGAGTTCGAGGACAGCTCTGGTCGCCAGAGCGAGTGCCAGGATAGGCTCCAAAGCTCCAGAGAAACCCTGTTCTTTTAAAAAGATAATTTCAAAGTATATTCGAGTGTGCCCTCTGCCTGGCCTCCACCAATGGAGATGCAGGTGTAGCGCCCCAGCACCCCAAAATCCACAGCACAGGCTCACAGCAGCTGATCCCTGAAAACGGCCAGACGCTCCAAACTACTTTGGTTAATTAAATCCTGGATCTTTATTATAATTTCACAGGATCACATAATATTCTCCTGTGTTACAACCACCATTTTCTCCCTCAGTGCCTACCTAAAGTGTTGGTTTTTATAGCATAATTAATCTGGCAGTAAAGAACCTGGGATATACTATGATGACAAGAACCCCATCTTGTGACAAAATATTTCACAACCACGTTTGGCTGTCTTCCGTATAGCCATTCAGAAGATAAATCTGTGCTGAGAAGTTATCATTTCATCTGCTTCAGCAGACAGAATTTCTGACCCAGCATTTATCTTGTGTCTGCGACAGCAGCGGTGCATGCAGTAAATCTGTGGAACACAGTAATTTGGGGCTTTGTGAGTTATTTTCAAGTGAACGCTGGTAGTCTTTACACAGCTTTCTGGAGGAATATTTTAAGAGGAGAGCAAACACTGGCTTTGGGTTAGCTTCTGAAATATCATCCATGTGTTCTAGGGAGGGTTCCGACATTCTGCTCCAAGATGAACCAACTCTGCTAAAGCAATCACAGGACAGAAATCCTGAAGTCCACAACCAGTGATGCCCCAGCAATCAGCACAGATAAGGGCCACCTGCCCCGGCAGGCTCCATTCACTGTCCTTCAGTTATTCTTCCAGCAGGGGGTTCTTAAATGAATCCTTTCCCCTTTCTATGTTACAGGAGAGTAAAAACAGACTCTATGTACACCTTCTGTGTTAAATTTGAAAGCCATTGGTGATAAGCCCATGCTAAGTGAGTCGACCATTCCGTTACTACTGACAACGGAGCACCGAGGAGTCTGAACTATCACCTTCCTCAACTGTGAACACATCATTGAAAAGTCCAGTCACACAAGCCAATCAAAACTAAAACCTTTCTAACCTGTCAAGGTCTGTCTGAAGCATTGCTTTTCAACCTTCCTAATGCCTCAGTGACCCTTTAATACATACAGGTTCCTCAGGTTATTGTGACCCTAGCCATACAATTATTTCATTGCTACTTTATAACTGTAATTTTGCTACTGTTATGAATCACAATGTAAATATCTGACATATAACCCCCTTGAAATGGTCATTGGACAATCTCCCCAAAGGGGTCCAGACCCACAGATTGAGAACCGCTGATCTAAAGAGTTAAAAAGAGTCGACAGAGTAATAGTAAACAGCTTTTTATTCGTTAATGTTGCATAAGAAATGTAAGCGTGTTACACTATCTTAAAAAACACAACTAGAGCATTTGAAGAAAATCCCCTCCCCCACCCTAACCCCACCTGCCCCATCCCTCAGGAA